CTGTCCCTCCCCTGTGTCCCCTATCCCGGGTGACTCCGCTGTCCCTCCCCTGTGTCCCCTATCCCGGGTGACTCCACTGTCCCTCCCCTGTGTCCCCTATCCCGGGTGACTCCACTGTCCCTCCCCTGTGTCCCCTATCCCAAATGACTCTGCTGTCCCCGTTCCCGGTGCAGGTGCCACTCTGGGTACGTGGGGACACGCTGTGAACACGCCGACCTCCTGGCTGTGGTGGCTGCCAACCAGAAAAAACAGACGATCACAGCCCTGCTCGTGGTGGCCGTGGTGGCCTCGGTGCTGCTTATCTCTGTCTGTGTCCTCATCCAGTGAGTACCTGGGGCTGGGGGCACCCCAGGGCATCCAGCACCTCCTGGATACATCCCGAGGAGGGGCCCTGGGACCCCCTGACTGCCCCCTCCCCCTTCCTTTCCAGCTGCTGCCGCCTGCGGAAGCGATGCCCCTGGTGCCGGGAGCCCGGAGGGGGCCAGGAGAAACCAGGGGGGCTCCTCAAGGGGGGCACCTCCTGCTGCCACGCTGAGACAGGTGAGGGCTGGGGGACCTCCTGCTGGGACAGGGAGGGGACAGGGGGCACCTGAGGGGTGGCACCTCCTGCCACGGTGAGACGGGTGAGGGATGGGGACACCTGGGCGTGGCACCTGCTGCCGTGCCAAGACAGGTGCCCGGGGGGCACCATGGTGGGACCACAACCACCAGCACCCCCAGGGTATAACCTGCTCCCCCCTCCTTCCCCACAGGTGTGTGACGGAGCCAGGATGCCCCTCCATGGACCCCGGGAATGGCATAGCACCTCTCCTCTGCTTTTGGTCTATTTTCTGGGATGTTTTCCCCCTTTTTTCCCATTTTCCCACCACCACGGAAGAAGCAAGGCAGGAATGTGCTCAGCAGCACCAGCAGAGCCACAGGGCCAAGCCCTGGCCTTGTGCCACTGGGCTTTACCTTTGGTTTTGGGTTGTTTTCCCTGGTTTTTGCCTCCTGGATGATTGTTTTTAAACCAGAACCCCAGCAAGATG